GCCTCAGGGGCCCGCCACGGGGCCCTGCCACAGCCAGCTCGTGAGGCTGGCGCCCACCTCTGTGTCCCCCAAAGTCCCCAGCGCTCAAGTTCACGACGGTGGTGGAAGGACAGACGGTGGCCAGTCGCTGGGGACGCAAGGGCGTCCCACACGCCACACCGGGCGCCACGTGCGTCCGAGTCAGCGGAACCGTGAGGCCGAGGAGTGGCCAGCGCACAGGACCGCGGCCGGGGGCGGGGCAGGGCTGCGAGCCCCAGCCGCGGGCAGCTCACCTGTTGGGCTTGTGGCCCATGTTGGCCAGCATGTGCGCCTGGTCCAGGTCCCGCGGGAAGCCGTGCATCACCCAGCCCTTGCGAAGGCAGTCCTGCTGACCCAGCCGCTGGCCCAGCACCTTCATGACCACGCTGTCGGGCACTGCGGAGGGAGGGGAGGGTCAGCCAGCCGGCCTGGCGCGCGCCCCGCCCTCCAGCGTCCTACTTGCTCGCGGGAGCCGGGAGTGAGGAGACAGGCTGTGATGCGTTCCCCCGCGCACCCACCGAGGGCAGAGATGGGGGCGGCGGCGGCAAGAGCAGTGGTAACCCTGACTGTGGCCAGATGCCAAGTCTGTGCCCCCAGACGTGTCCCCAGTCCTCCCGGGGCCTCCCCCACCTGGCCCCAGGGATCCAAGGCCTATCAGGGAGGGCACCAGCCGGGCACCAGGCCGGGCACCAGGGAGGGCACCAGGCCGGGCTGAAGCTTCCCCCAGCGAGGGAAGCTCCCCCTCTTCTCCTTCCCCCAGCGCTCCCCACCCCTTTGGAACCCGGGCTCCGAGGGGCGGCCCCAGCTTGTTCCAACTGGAGACTGCAGTAAAGACGAGGAGAATGAGTCGCGGAAACGCTGTTCACGCTCCCAGGCCGACCTTTCCTGGACACTCACTCCGCTCGGCTCAGGCCCATTAAAGGCCCGTGTTGCTAGCGACGCGCCCGGCAATTTGCACTCATTTTTCCAGAAACACTCGGCAAATATCCACGCGGGCCCGCATGGAGCAATTCTTCCTACACTGCACTGGCCGCATCTCGGTGGCTTCTGAGATGCTCAGCGCAGCGGCCAGGCCCTTGCCGGGGACCCCAGGCCGGCGCCCCGCGGGAGCCGCAGGGCAGTCTCGCCGCTCACGCCTGCGTCCCTCCGTGGCCAGCCCCCTGCCGGCACCCGAGGCGACACCACTCACCCCAGGTCGCCTGCACGTCCCTGACTGTCCTCTGGCCTTCCCGGCCTTTCCTCCTCAGCCCCAGGAAAGCGGCAAGGGGCTCCCGGCCCCCCACGCGCCTGCCCACCAGGAGGCTCTGGAGCCGCAGCGAGGGGCCTGCCACGGCTCC